CCTCAAATAAGTCCCCAATTTAATGCTAAAATACCCCAAAATTTTGGGATATTACATCCACCCCTCCTAAAAAGGAGTTTTGTCCCCAAAACTCAAATCTAGGATTGTCTAGACTGGTGAATGGCTTCACACGATCTAAGACAAAATGAATACCTCACCGACTTTCTATGGTCAGAACATGACCTATTACGCTTCCGCTGCGCCACTCTGACATCAAACACAACTATCACAAGGAAGTCAATCTCAAGATACACGGCTAACAAGTATAAGGGTACAACAGTCATATTCACTTTACAGGGACTGGGTACTCATCACTGCCCTAACAAGCCAACAACAATCTCAATCTCCATCCTCTCCAATGGTCATTTGGGAGGCGGGAGATAACGTCACGCCTCAACACAAGTAACTAAACTCGAGAGTTATAGGCGTGATTATGTGGTGCCCTTGACTCAAATCAAGACCCGGCACTCATCAAACACAACCACATGGCAAGGAATCTAATGATGAGTCCAACTAAAAGATGGAACTCTATCCGAGATGGATAAGCATCACTCGGATATACAAAATCATGAACGGATGAATGCATGCATATGCATGTATGAATGAATGCCTTTATGCATGCATGTATGAATGCCCATGTGTGCATGCATGTATGCCCATGTGTGCATGCATGAATGCGTATATATGCTCATGTATGTCCATGTTCGCATTCACGTATGAATGCCCAGATGAATGCTAAACAAACAGGCCTAATGTGGGAGGCCTTATACATCCTACCACAACCAATACCAAGCACACTATCACAAGGGACCAAGTTTCAAACAAGGTCCGAGGAGTATAGTGAGCAAGATTAATTTCAAAAATGCTCACCAACGGCAGAGAACAAGAACTAACTGAATTACTATCTCATTAAAGCGGATCAGAAAATTCAAGCAACATAAATCAGAATCGTCCCTTGTATAACCCCATCACTCGTCTCACCACGGTTCTAAATCCATTAACTAGCCAAGTTCAAAACATACCCTAGGTATTCACTTAAACCTAGGCTCTTACCTTACAAAATCTTAATCAAACCTAAGCTCTGATACCACTTTATCTGTCACGCCCCAGAACCCAAATCCAGGGACGTGGCAGACGCCGTGCACTCGTGAGACGGGTCCCACAAGTGCACAAGGCTCGGGATTTATTCAAATCACAAACTAATACCATCAAAATCTGAAGATCAAATTATAAAATCTCTCTGATATCATAAATCTCCAAATACAAGATCATGATTTA